TTTTTTCTCCACAGATGCTGCCAGACCTACTGACCTTTTCCAGCAATGTCTGTTTTTGTTTACGATTTACAACATCCACAATTCTTTCGGCTTTTATGAGAGCTTTATCTGTGACCCTGTCAGTGTCACTTGTCGTTTATCAGACCATCTTCTCATCTGTTGTGATTAAGTCATTGGCAATTTCATGCCTATGGATGTGCCTCTTCTAAGAATTAACTAGGCAATACAAATTCTTCCATTTGGGATTCAGTCTTAAATCATATTTCTAGCAACAAGAGGAAATTACACAGTTCAAACAATTTTCTTATTTTCTCTTGTAAACATTCTAAGTTAAAATTTATTTCTGCAAAATGGAATATACAGCTTGTGCTGTTTCATGACAGAAGAACGTTAAGATCAGGATTGATTTTGGTTCAATGCTGTTGGGGTTAATTAGGGGCATGATGACTGAGTATAGTGCTCCAATACATTGTTTACTTAATTGGTATCCAGAAGAGGTCCACATGTTCTGTGACTCATGCCATTGGTGCACATGAGTCCTGATTGTGCCTTTCAGGCAGTTTGCAGTTCCGCCACTGATCTGACTGGCGCTACAGAGCTGATTCTGGGAAGGAGTCACAAAGGCAGCAGCAGCAAGCTGGATTATTGTTGCATGGGAGCTGGAGGAAAAGCATTTTCAAAAATGAAGGAGCAAAAACAAATTGCTTTGGGGAACTGCTCGCACTGCACTCTTTAAAAGTCTACTGGCTGCATCACTGGCATGCCAGAGATTAATTGATCCATAAAAGAGCTTTGGAAATGATAGTGGATGTAACGAAAGATGACTCATGTCTGTTTCAGCCAGAGGACAATTATCTATGCAGTCAGATAAGGCAGTGACACTCACCCATGTATCAAGTTAAAGTTGACATTGATGTAAATAAGTTCAGTCAAATCTGTTGCAATTGATTTCCTATTTCCCTTAGCAATGCTTCAAGTATCTCCTCCAATATGGGTATCACCTTGGGAAGCCTCAATACGACACCATGTGAGAGCATAACATTCTGCTTAATTAAATAGTATGAGACGGCTCAGAAGTCCCTGAGTAACACTGCACAATCTCTCTGATATTCCCACAAACTATCTACTCACAGAGCTGATATGGCGATGCATTGATTAGATTTCTTGTGGCTTTACTCTTAATCAGAAGGCAATAGAGAAGAAGACATCAATTCAAGAGTTCCAGCAAGCTCACCAAGAACAGTAACCTCTAGCAGATGCCGCACAGCTTCTAGAGAGAGAATTAGCAGTCCAAGACGCACCAAAGAGACATAGGCTAACGATGAGACCCATGGTTGAGAGGCTTTGCTGCAGTTACCTGCAAATATCTGAGCAACAATGCCGCTGAAGGTTAAAAATGCCCAGCTCCATCGTCTCACAACTACTCAATTTCTGGAGAAAAACATGACCTTACACAGATTAGGTGGCAATCCCATCCT